TCAGTGTAGAATGAAAAATTATTTATCGTAGACATGGACAAATTATAAAAGATAAACGATAACTCTGATGAGTTTCTATTAGGAAAATTCACATTAAAATATTAAAATCACAAATGATTTTCTAAAAAATCAATCAATCATGAATTTTTTTTCAAAAATTATAATAGCAATATGATTGATAATTTATAATGATTAATTAGCTGAATAAGAAACATAATATCTCGTTAGCTCCTTTCGCGATATTACTTAACTTCGACCCTACTGGATCGATATAAAGATTCTCGATATCAGTTATTCTCTCCTCAAGAAACTGCGTCTGGAGTTTTGCCGAGAAACCTCAGATAACAGTCGCATCTACGGCGTAACTCCCACCGAAAGTAGCTTTTACGGTGACGTCCCTGGTAGTTTCCGTGGGAAAAGAATTTAAGTGGGAAGTCGTGTAACTTATAACCAAGCTTGAGATTGACGGCGCGAAGGAAACGACGACGAGTAAATGCTACAAGAAGACTCAGAGATGGTCTGACCACGTAGACACCTGGCCGCGTCCACAAATATACCGGATTTTCCGGAAAGATATGTTACCGGCTGTGGAAGCTAACTTCAAATACTCAAAAATTTGTGCAATTATATAATAAAAAGAAATTAATCACAAAATAATTTATTAACATTAGATATAATTATAATTAAATGTAATTATATTTATACCGTCGTTACTAGCACAAGTTGCTAAAAATCAGAAAATTGCGTTAGCAATCGTGTCATTTCATTCCGACTTTTTTTGCACATTCTTTACGGTTTTATTCTTGTGTCTGCTTTGTCTGTTTTTTTTTACAAGAAAAACGATTGAGTTAATCTACATTTTGATTTGTTTGGGTTAAACTACCAACCGCAATGGATATCGCCTTTCCTTCTGGAATACATATCTCCTCTCTATATCGCCGTGAGAAACAACGGGAAGTGAGTGATATATAGCACACATACATGTTTATATATAGATCGGATAATAACGTCGATGCAGGCGGAAATTGAAATCTTGCACCGTACTCGACGGCGAACCTCGAAAATTCAGTTTTCTGATCAAGTAAACCGCTTCGTAAGGTAAATCTCTGATAAAACTTCACTATTTTGTATGCACAGTGCGTTTAATATCTTAATATCAAGTGTTTATTGAGATTAATAGAATTATCTCCGTAAAAATGAATTTACAGTCTCACGTTTAAATAACATCATTTTATTATATGTACACTGAAAAAAAGATTGGCTGTCGCAGCAAATTAGATGGTAAAATATGGCATAGCATTTTTAATTGGTTGTATCAGTCTATTTTTGGTTGCGTTAGCCTATCCGCAATGTTAGTATAGGATTTCGATAGGCTAACACAACCAAAAATTGATTGATACAACCAATTAAAAATGCTATGCCATATTTTACCATCTAATTTGCTGCAGCAGCCAATCTTTTTTTTCAGTGTACATACACTTCTGACCAAAAGTTTAGGAACGCATTAAAAAAATTGACATTTATGATTATTTGCTCAAATATCCATAACAATGTGTTTCTTTTAACAATAAAATTCTTTTCTCTCTCTCTCTCTCTCTCTCTCCAATAACTGTTATTGAATCTGAAGAATTATTGTTAAATGAATGCACTGTTATGAATATTTGAGTAAGTAAAATCTCAAAAATAGGTATTAATTTTTTAAATATATTTCCAAACTTTTACCTGAAGAGTATATAAAGTAATTACAATATATGTATATTATAATAAAATATAAGATAAATAGTTAATGCCATAATGAATTATATTTTTGTTAGTCTTTTCATAATAATATTGGTATTATAAATTTATGCTTTCGCAGTTTAAATTGTTTACTTATATAATCTATTACCGTTACTTAATTATCCATTATTTCTGTAACATCGTGCATCTTATTATCATGCTTTATTATCCAAATAGAAGAAAGGCACGTGTTGCAAACAATAATTGCTATAGGATTTACATTTTGATAAATTTCCAGAGAAATACGGAAAATCGCAAAACGAGCAGATAACAAGGGCTTTCGCCGCTTAATTTTAATCAGTCCAATTAACGGCGCGCGTTATCTGCTGCGAAGTTGCCAAAAACTCAAATTAAATGCGCATTGTGCACGAGAAAGTTGAATTACGTTACTGCTGTATTTATTATGTTGCTTTTGTTGCGTTTCCAGAAGAGTGCCTTCTCATTCGTGACCGGTAATTATTATTCATGCAAATTTTACAAAGAATAAACTGGCTAAATCTGTGTGTATTTTCTAATTAATTTTATAATATGATGTCATTGAATATATACAGAGTATCTCTGCATATAATGCCAAAACTGCTACAGCGGCTTTAGCACATGAAAACAAGTAGAAAATATCTAATAAACATATATTTCGAACAGTTTTGGAGTTATATTGAAGTAAGAAAACATGAAGTAAATGTTGTTTAATGATCGTTATTCTATTTAATGCTTTACAAAAGGTGGTCAAAAATTCCTCCATCGACTTCGACACACTTTCTAGCACAAATTAATAATAAATTGTTTCGGATTTGATTACACACATGCACGCACGCACGCACGCACGCACACAAATATTTGGAGTTTTGCGGATAATATCCGGCAGCATTAAGTATCAGTTATCATAATTGTTCTGCATTCTGAATCTCATTCTATAATAGTAAACTAGATCTTTCATTCGTCCCCAAGGAAAAAAATCCAGTGGTGTGAGGTCGGGACTTCTCGCTGACCATTTAATGGAAGCGTCCTGGGCTCTTTCAATCCAATGAGGATGGTACAGCACGATCATAGAGAAACGTTCACACAGGAAGTCATCCTTAACGTGTATTTGTTTACATTTTAGAGATAAATGAAAGATCTAGTCTATCAGAAAAAGATTCAGAATTCAAAACAACAGAACGGACATTAAACAAACAACATTTACTATATGATTCATGTTTCTTTACTTTAATATCCCGTTACTCCGAAATCGGACATATGTTTATTAGATATTTTCGATTTGTTTTCATATATTGAAACCACTATAGTTTTGGCACTGTATGCAGAAACACCCTGTATAAATTGAATGATTATTATATAGTTTAAAATGATTAGATCTCATAGAAATAAATTTGAATTGTCAGTATCTTTTAAAATTAAATTAGAGTATTAAATATTCGTGTTGGTACATATTTTTCCACAAAATAATGTACCATGATGTACATTAATACTTAATAATAATAGTAATAACAATAATAGTATAATGCAATAATGTGCATTTCTAATTTAAATTTTAATAATAGTTTAATAGCGATGTGTGTGTTTATCTGTTATAAGTATAAATATATAACTACTTACTTTATATTTATTATTTTGTGTGTGTGTATTCAAACGAAATCATCTGACAATATTGATATCAAGATCATAATACAATCGAAAGGTTATTTCTATTTTTGTAAGGAAAGAGATACGCGTACTGAAGAGTTCAGAAAGATTCCATTTTGAAAAGTGACAACGTATTGTCGAAGGCGCATCGAAAGATGAGAATCTGGGAAAATCGATAGAATTTCAAAGCGAGCATCCCTACTATTATTCGAACAGGCTGCGAAATCGCTCGCTCGCATTATTCACAAATTCTGCGCGAAGAAATCCTAGATTCAAATGAAGCTGACATAAAAAAATCTAGATTTTTGAAACTTTAAATTTAATAATAATTTAATAATAATAAAATTATAGTTAATACACATATATTCGCGTCAGAATTCCTTTATGTAAAAAATGGATTCATAACAATGTTTAATATTATCAGCAATATTTAATATCCTATATATTTAAATATTATTTATCCCTTGTATTTAAAATATAGAAGAGATAAAGATGATTCTATCTCTTCATCACTCAAAGTACATTTAAGTTGATGTAAAAGGTTTGTCTTTTTGTTTATCAAGCTCTGTACTAAATAAATTTAAAATTGGACTACTTTGAAAAGAGAAATAAAATATTTCTTTTTAAATAGAACACAAAGTATATTGAAGTCCATGGCTTTGATTTTGCTGAATCTTTCAACTCTTTTTTTGAGTGATATAACGAACCTTTTAGATAAATTTAATAGACACATCTGTGAAAAATAGTGTTCGCATTATATAGAAGAAGGTCACCGATACTGACATAGGTCTCCTAAAGCGACATCACCTTATTTCTTAGAAACTAACCTTTGCACCTTATTAATTCTAATAAAAACGTGATCTGTTTAAATAAAAACGTGAGCTAATTAAAGAAGTACAAACTCATAATTCATATATTTGTGACTTATTTCTATACCAAATCAGCTAAAAACAAATTCTATGAATCCGAGAAGAAAATTCTTACGGCGTTCTTTTGCAAATTGCGTAATTAAAATAATAGTGACTGTATTATTGATAATATTATGTCATTTTAAAT